AATTCGTCCCCTGAGTTCCTCATCAAGGCAGTGTCATCAGTGAATCGCAGGTTACTAAGATACTCTTCATTAACTTTTATCCCTAACTGTTCCCAGTCTAGGGCCCTGAAAACCTCCTTTAAATATGCTGTGAACAGCATTGAAAATAGCATCGTGTCTTCCTGCCTTATACACCGCTTTATTGGGATTTTGTCGCTTTTTTGGGGGAGAACTATGGTGACTGTGGATCCACTGTAGATGTCTTCCAGTGTGTTTAGTATGGTTTTTCAATGGGCTGATTCCATAGTGCCTGCATAACTGCTGATGTCTTAACTGAGTCAAACGCCTTCGGTTCTGGTGCCACTGTCGCCTTGTGAAAACCACAGAGTCGAGTAGTGAGCATAACGGGGTGACTCTCGGGTCCTTTGCTGTGCATAGCGCGTTCCTCCGGTCACTGCTTGTTTGATGTCAATGCTGTTGCATGCGGTCACCTAGGCGTGTGCGGTCACCTACGCGTCTCGGAGTCTTTCGGTATGTGCCGTGGAGTCGGACAGGGCGACCCACTTTCGCCCGCTCTCTACGTGCTCGCATTCGAGCCGCTTTTGCGGGGGCTTTCTAAACACACCAGCATCGGTAGATTTTGCCTTTTGCCAGGTCCCCCCCCTGGTGGCAATGGGCAATGTTGGCTATGCAGATGACCTCTCTATTGTTGTCCCGGAAGAGGCAACTCTTTGCACCGTCTTGGATGTTATGGAGGTGTACTGCTCGGCGAGTGGTACCAGGATAAATAAGTCGAAGAGCGCAGTCATGTATCTGAACTGCGCTCCTTCCCTCAACGTCCTGTGCATTACCTCCCCATAAAAGAACGCGTACATATATTGGCTTTCCATTTCGAACCGAATGGCCGGACTATCGAAAACTGGTGGTTAGCAAGGCAAAAGGTGACCGACAGGATCTGGAAGCTCGGTGCCTTGTCTTGTCCAATTAGAGCTAAGAGCTAAGGCCACGATAATTCAATCACTTCTGTTCAGTTTTCATATCTACGTAGGTTCGGTTATGCCAGTTAAACCTCATACCAAGGCTCTCCTGGAAAATAAACGTTTCGGTTTTTTTCGGAGTCGGGCCTTTCTGTTTGTGTCGCGCCCATGCTGAAGTTGCGTAGGGACGAAGGAGGACTAGGTATTCCTGACCTTAGCATTGTGACCAAGGCATTGCACGTTTGATGGACGTGGGTAGCTCTCGCTTCAGATATGCTCCTTACTAGAAGGTTTGCGTCATATTTTCTGAGCATGCAGCTGAGGCTGTTCTCACCTGGGGCATTTTCGAATTCGGTGCTTGGGCAAGAACGCCTTCTGCCTTCTATGCAGGGGCTGCTTCTACATTGGCCCGTCTCCAATAAGTCGACTCCGATATAGATTTAGTTTTGATCGAACTCCACGAGTTAGTTGATAGACTTACCCCAGAATTACCTTCAAACTGTGTCGCATTTGACCTGTCCCACCATAGTCTTAACTGGCAATTCATTACTGCCAGTTTTCTGGACGCCAAGCGTGCTACATTTATATATTGCCTGGTCAGAGGGTGCCTGCCCCTAAAGTTCAGGCCCTTCATAAGAATTCCTCAACGAGGAACGAACCCCTTTTGTGGCACTATGGAGGACCTGGCTCATGTGTTCTCCCAGTGCGCACTACCAGCTGCCCTCCATCGAAGGATAGCTAGCTTGTTTGGCCACCCCAGTGTTCGTTTCAACACCGTTAGTTTTCTGCATCCACTGTCGGGGCAAGCCGCTAAGCAGTACGGGCTTCTGCTTGTTGAGTGCTCCTACCAAGTATGGGTGGCACGGTGTTGGGCCGTTTTTGATGGGAAGCGACCCGGGCTTCACGAAGTGCTCGCAAAAGTACCGAAGGAGGTCTGGTTCGTTCTCCACCGAGAGTGACAGCGCCTAGGTGCACAAAAGTTTTATGAGATGTGGCACCGTCCGGCGGTGATTTTTAGTGAGTCAGGAGGGCAGATAACCATCAATTTTTAATGATGGCATTCTCTAAGTTCCCACGACTAGGCCTAGTGAGCCGGGCGTCCCCGAGTTTAGCTTGTATGGTTGCTCACCCGAGCTTTGCATGCGCTAAGGTGATCCTGTCGCCTTGTCGGGTTTTACCCGCAAGGTCCGTGTTGGTCCCTCCTCCGTTCCCGGCGACTCTACTCGCCGAGGCGGAGGGTGGTTCCTTTCTTCGCGAAGGTCTAAGCCGGCTTTCTGCCGTGCTGGTTTCTAGGGGTTTGTTTGGTTTGCGTGCAGCAACATTGACCTCTGCACCAAATAGTAGTCCCGTAAACCCCACGGGACGAATTGTGTCTCACTGCGCTCTAGTGGTGAGGAGACGGGCCGTGACCGGAAAGCGCCTCGCGCCTAGCGCTAGCCCATCCGTCCTGAGGGCACGTCGTCGTAGGCTCTCTGCCGAGCGACAGTATGAGGGCACGGGCACTTGGGTTGTAATGACTGAAGTTACCGCGCCCAAGGGCAGTCCTGCTGCCGAGTGTTTAGGTACGTCCGCTTTGCGTGCGTTGCGGGGGTTACCGCGCCGAAGTGTAGCCCCTGTGTCGAGTCTCGCTGGGTCCTAGCGTTTAGGAGACATGCCATGACCGCAGTGCAACCCACGCGCTGCAATAGCCAGCCCATCTTGCCAGGGTACGTTTACTTTGTGCATCGCGACCGAAGTTGCTTCGCCGAAGGGTAGTCCCTTTATCGGGTCTCTCTGGCTTGTACGCCGGAAGGCAAGCCGCGTCAATTTGGCGCCGAGCGGTGGCCCCCTTGCCAGGGCATGGCCGTCTGCCCGAAACAAAACGTCCCCCTCACACGACCCTGGCGGAGGGGGAGGAAGTGCCAAGACAAATGTACAGATGTTGATGAGTTGGCTATGACTCTGGGACAAAGCGCTTTGGCGCCGCGTCTCCTTTCTATGTGACAGCGCCACCTATGCGTGTGCGTTTTCCGTGAGGGAGGAACTGTGAATGTGGTGCCATTTCTCTGCACGCGACACGTCTTGTGGATGCTCTGGTGCATGCGCAAGGGTTGGTTCCACAAACGACGCAACACGTGCAGGTCATCCCTGGTTTACGCCGGTTACTAACTTGTTTCGACAAGTAAGTTCTCATTGCATTTCGCATTTAAAAAAAGCCATAGCAATTGAACTCCGCGCATCGGTGTCTGCAGGTAGAGAACAACACTTGGTTATTTTCGGAGCTGTCTTGGCAGGAAGTGCGTTCAAATTATTTCAGAGATGTGAACGGATACCTCGTCGCTTTATTCGTGATTCACGACGCGTCTGAGATGACGTGGTACAATTTTCGTGATTTTCCACTGCTCCATTTTGTATTCTAAACTCTCAAACGTGTGCTTTTTAAGAGGTGTCACTGCATGCGTGCCGGTTCTGGGCTATGCTATTAAGCTTAGCTCGTTTGGCGTTTCGGTGGGCATCAGTGTGACTTCGTTTTTCTTTCTTTCCCTCTTATGCTATAAAGTACGTTCGGCGGTTCGTTTGATTGGACAGGCATTTCTTATCTATGCTTAGCGAGCGCTTTACGCCAGTCGCGGAGCGGCAATCGCAAGTCCATGTATTATCGGGAGTTGTAGATCGACGGCGATGACCTACGATAAGAAAAAAATGGTCACCGTGTGCCGTGATAATAAACGCGTAGTTGCTGGAGCGGAGAGGCGTTCGCTTATCGCTTAGTGCCATATGCATGCACATTAGGAGATTGTCGGTGCGGTGAGGTTTCTTGGATCCAGCGCTGTAATATTGAAGGTGGTTCTGCACGAGTGGCCACCAACGGCGGTGCAGCGCGCTTTTGTTGCCTGTTAAAAGCTCTTGACGCTATCACGTCGGGCTTTTCTTTAAGCGAGGTACCACTGTTAGGTAATTAAGATTCTTGTGTAATGACATTGTTTTAATTTATTTTTGACTGTGATGCATTTTTCTTTTTAATTGTTTCTTATTTTCAAGCTCGCAGGATGACACATTAATTGTTGCTAACTGCACTCAAGCAAGATTCTTCTGCTCCAAAATTGAAATTCTGTGCCCCAGAAACTGCTGCCAATTCAGTCTCGCCCCTGTAAACCCCACCCCTAGTTTTTTTCTTTCAACTATTCTATGGTAGCGTTGGACGCGTCCGTTTTCTTCAGTACTGTATGAGCCTCACTTGTCCTCCTAAGTTTGCTGAGCCCTATTAGATTCCATTTTACACCCTCTAATTTCTCGAATTGCACAGCTAGACTAGCCTCACTAGATAGTGTTCGAGCGTTGAACATAGCCAAGTACAGATTCCAACGGCGGCCTATTCGAACCCAGAGATTCTTGGCACGCTCAGCTGCGTTGCAGGTCTGACCTCCACCTTGGACAGTTGCTTCGCAGCTGCTGGGGCCTGAGGGCCACAGACTAATTGGTACTCTCATAAGGGGGGTAGCGGCCTAGTATGGCACCAGGGTGGCCAATCCTGCTCTGGTCACCGGCAGGTGGTCGCCAGAGAGGCCGCACCACAGACCTCTTCTTTTTTTAAATTTTATTGTCCAATGAATCCTACATTTTAACAAGCGTGTACTCTAAGAAGCGTCGGGCAGATTGATTTATGGGCATTTTAAGTGGTTATTGGTATGGGATTTTAAGAGGCTCAAATTAATCCAGACCCCTCCAAGATAGTGGTTTTAGCTGACATGATAGATTTTTTATGCTGGAACTCTCAGTTTATTAAAATCTTCATAGAGGCTAGAGAACCATAACAGAAGAGTGGTCTTTTGCATCTATTTCATGCTGTCATGCAATCTCATATCAATGATAATTTTTAGGGGGTTTTGAGAGCATGTGTCAACTGCCTATTCTGATTTGGGGTACGAACTTCTCTTATGTCTTTGTTATTTGGTGCATTAATATACAAGCAGTAATATGTAGTAGTGCTTGCCTTTTCTTAACATGGCACTATGAATTATGAAATAAATGTGCGATCTAGTTGAAATAATACTTTGTTTCCAGGCAACTTCAAGAAGACATTCAGCTTATATTGTCTGGATCAGTGGATGACGATCTGGTGAAGCTGCTGCAGGACATCGAGGCGTGAGTAGCTCTTGCTAGCATATCCACATTGTCATTTGAATGTATTGTTAGAAATACTAGAAACTACACTTGCGGGCAGCTTTAACCCTGTAATATGAGCAAAAACTCCTTTTAACTTCTTTGTTGGTGCCTCATGGAAGAAATGCTACATGTAACATGATCTCCCTTACCTTACGGAAGTAAAACGGAGCTTTTCACAAAAAGATTTCAGCAACACTATTCGTGGCGACAGGGCTGGGCAGAGATACTTTGAAATTGTTTTGTGATAATATACAAGATAAACAGGCAAAAAGTGTTAGCGAAACAGATGCAAGATACTACTGCAACAATTGTATCTTAAGATACCTTCATACATTCAAAATTTTGTTAAAGAGCCCCATAATGTAGTACTGAGCTTTTGGTCTGCTTAAAAATTTTTTAAATGTGATCAGTTTCATTTCATTTTGATGAAATGTCTGTTGGTGTTCGAAAAGCTTTGTCCTCCTTGGTCAAAGTACGTTAGTTTACTTCCGAAAGAATGCATTAGGGTTTGTTTTAGCTGCTTAATAGGACAGTTCTTTAAACACATCGCTGACTTGCTTTGCGTTCTTGCTTGTCGTTTTTATAATTGATGAGAGTAGCGGCTGAGCCTGCCGACCATCTGGCAGGTTGCGGTCTAATCTCACAAGCTTCAATAAGAAGCATTCACACAATTTATTTATTTATGTACTTATTCGTCGATACTACAGCCAAAAGGCCGATACAGGGTGGAGTACTGAAATACACTCCACACATCGTTCAAAGACACAAGCCCTACACAGTGAGATCAGGACAGACAATGCATCTGGCAGCTTTAAACAAAACTAGACCCTGTAGACCATACAAATTGTAATGCAAACAAAAAGCAAATATTACCAACACACAAAAGTATTTAAGTTTTATGCAGTAGTGAGCAACCTTAAGCGGATAGGAACACAATTGTAGACACTATACTCAACATGCTCGGTTTCATATGCTTCAAAATTATAATTATCAAAATCGGGAATTTTTTTATAGTTACATATACTTATTTAAAATAATGTCAAAGCATACAAGCCGCTTATCACTGAAAAAAAAAAAAGGAAGGTAATGACAGTTATATGTGGTTACGTGGAAGAGTAATAGGCCGGTACCACATTTTAAAAATTCCTCTGAAGAGTTCGTTTTAGTTATACATATTATGCGGTAGCATGTCCTACTCTTCAATCATTTTCGTGAAGAAGGAGTATTTAAAGGTGTCAACCTTTCCGGCTATGGCCACAAGTTGATCCTGATGACTCGATCTGACACACCGGGAAAGACGCGGCATTCTGTTTTGCATGTATCTCATAGGGCTAAAGTTAAAGCAACCGTGTTTTATTATGTGAAGGAATTTTAATCTCGCCACTTTTCGCCGCATTGAAAGCTCAGGCAAGTTTAGTTGAGTGAGCATTTTGGTCACTGATTCTGTGTACCTATATTTCAAAATAATAAATCTTGCTTCCTGTCTTCAAATATTTTAATTTTCTTTATTTCCTTCTTTCTACACGGATCCAATATTATACTTCCGTATTCAAGTGCGGGTCGTATCAAAGTTATGTATGCAGTTTGTTTAACATCTCGGCAAATTTTACCTTATGCCATAGTGTCCAAAGCTTTATCTCTACGGTATTACATAAATTAGTAATATGCTTTTTCCAAGATAATCATCAGATATTGTAATGCCTAAATACTTAAGGTGCCTCATCTGTCTTAATGGCTTACCATCGAGCATATTTAAAACTAACCCATTTTTTGTTTTCCTAGTTATGTGTGCATATACTGTTTGCTCGTGGTTTATTTTATTTTTCATCATGTGCACCAATTAGTAATTGATTGTAGTGCTGAAGCTAGCTCTGATCATAATGACATGATATTTTAGAATATATTAGGCAATCCTCCTCAAATAGACAAACAGTAATTTTGCTGCTAAGGTCATTTGTAATGTCATTAATATAACAAAGAAGATAGTGCAAATAACAATGTGCAGTTTTACATTGTGCATAAAAGATTGTTTATGCAATACCAATAGTGCAAATAACAATGTGCAGTTTTACATTGTGCATAAAAGATTGTTTATGCAATACCAATCGCCAGTGTACAGTAGCCACAAGGTATTTTGTATATATAGAGCACATCGAACTGCATCAAACTTTTATATTATTCTTATCTGCTGGTGTAAACAGTTAGTTATCTATATGCTATCTAACGTGCAGTCAATTTCTCTTCAATCACAGCATGTGCACCCTAGGACTGCCTCAGACCTATTGTATTATCATGTAATGATGACTATAAAGAAAGTAGCAGTCACTCTGCTAGAAACAAAACCATTTATTAGGCCTACTTGTGCTCAGAAAACTAAGTAACTGAAAGTAAAAGCAAAACGTGCTGTACTCTAACAACGGCAATAAGTCTAGTTGGCCTTCGGTAATCTGATCATCGCCAGGACGCGTCTTGTTGTATAGATAAGTGATCGCACTTTCCACCATAATTGCTCATGTTTGTGTAAGTTGCCAAACGAATTAGGGTGCTCACGTACTATGCGTAATTTTAATAATAATTGTTGAAGTTTAACATTTCTAAACCACAATATTATTATGAGGGACACTGCAATGGAGGGCGCCATAAATGTCTGACCATCTGCTGTTTTTTAACGTGCAATTGAATCTGAGTACATTCACCTGTAGCACTTCACCTCCATCAAAAGGTGGCTGCCGAAACAAGATCAGTGAATAATTTCAACAACACTCTGAGACAATCTTGTATATTCCGAAACATTGTTACGTTGCTTGCGCTGAGTGGTGATATCGGTTTTTGTGACTTAAACCCAATCGCACAAAAATAAAAAGTAACAGCGTGTGTCAGTATAGGTGCACAAATAGTCGCAGGGCAGTGCCACTGTTGATGCTATCGTTGCCTAAAGCTTTGATTAGCTGGTAGTTAGTAATTGAAAAAATTAAGGCAAATCTATGAAGCGAAAACTGATGATAGGGCGAAGCAATGCGCATCAGTCAGATTGTGATTCGTGGCCTTCTATTTTGTTCTGGTTAAAGACCTTTTATGTTATTGTTAACCTTTTGCTCCATCACGTGCCTTGACTGATGGGTGGTAAGATGGTGGTATTTTCAAGGTGTTCTGACCTTTTTTTTTTTTTTTTTTTTTTGAAAACTTGTGTACACTATGTATTGCATTTGTGCAACTGTGGAGGGCTCCCTGACGGATCGAAACCGGATGGACCTCATGAAGCCCTAAGGAGATTCGACCCTAAAGAAACCAATTCCTAAAAAGAAAAACAATTTTAATTAAGAAAAGACAAGCTGTTCCGTATCGAACATTTATGGACAATTAGTATAGGAACACGATATGGTGGCACTCCTAATAGCTATGACAATTAAGTGTGAAGTATCGTCAAGTGACCTGTTGAGATTAGACAATAAAAAAATTCTGTGTCTATGGAAAAAAATACCTTGACTGGCTTATTGTAACGCTCAATGGGCAAAAGGGACCGTTTGGTATACAGTCAAACCCCGCTACAACGAAACTGACGGGGCGCAGAGAAAATTTGTTGAAGAGAAAATTTAATTGTAGTGAAATCGAAAAAAATATAGCTGATCTGAGCTAGCAAAACGAAAGAACGTTCATTCTCAAAATTTAAAAAAATGTCCGCTGCTTTTTATTCTTTCCCAGCAGCGTCACGACGTGATTCTCTCCCAAGCATAGCGAGGCCATAGTGAAAAGCACACTAAAACAACGCCTAACACTGCTTTCGTGAACGAACCAAACTGTTGCATTAACACGTTAACACCAGCAGCTGTCCACCATCAAAAGTATCCGACAACGCCGAGATGGAGGCAGGGTATCGTGGAGCGGCGACTTTTGCATTATTCTATGCCATTCTTATCGTACATCACTCTTGGCTAGCTGATTTTGTTGATAATGCGGACGAACAGCCGCTCTGATTAGTTACCACTCTGGCCAAGCGCGAACATAATAAGCATCAGAATCGGTAAAGGCATCGTGCCGCGGTTGCACCCAGCAGCTGCGAGAAGAAAACCATGAACTGAGCGACTGAGCTTCAGCTTCAGATCATCTGCGGCTCAAAAGTAAGCCAGTGGCAAAACAAAAGCACGGCAGTCTCATTGCCATTGCTATCGAGCAATGGCGGCGCCCGTACTTGCTAATCAGCGGCGGTTTCTGGTGGCGTCAATGCGTGTTTTAGACTTCGTTGACGCATTTTCAGGCTCTAAAAATGCATAGAAATGTTAAAGATTGCGTTTACTGCATAGCAATAAGTGTCTGAGCCTGGAATCGCATTGTGAAATTTCGTTGAAGTGGGACAATAGATGAAAAAGTGTTTGTTGTGGCGACAATATTTATGCGTTGTCTCCTATGGACTGCTGACGGGGAATCATGAATTTTTCGTTGTAGCGGAAATTTCGTTGTAGCGGAGTTCGACTGTAACAATATTTTTTGAATACCCTTCTTAAGATTTTTAAAGTGGCTCCTAATTATTTCTATTATTGTATTGCAAACCCTATTTTGTCATTTTACCTGGCAGTTAGCTGGATGTTTGATGCTGTATGCTCAATGCACACCCACATAATCACCTAATCGTTATCCAAATTGTCTTGGCAGAAAGGGTAAACTCAAGTGAATGTAAATGCATAAATAGTAGCAGAAATAAAGCATACAAATAAAAGTAAGAAAAAAAACATTGTTTATTTTGGCTGCACTTCAGAAAAGGCACATTGCTGTAATCATACAGAAAAAGAAAAAAAAAGTTCAGAGCCCTAGGTAATTTATTGGAAGCAAGAGAAGGACAGCTGATGAAGCACTTGTGCTAACAAGCAAATAATGATTTCGAGAGCTCTTTCTGTAGAAATAGCAACAAAGTGCTATGGTGCGCTAAGATATCACTAGATAAGCAAACACTTGTTCTGTTAGATGTAGTATCAATACTGGCATTGCCATAGCTAGAATTGTGCGCATGACTCAATTCTGTGTAATTCAAACTTAGTTCACAATATCCTTCAAATCACTGATGTGATGTGTGAAAGTCGTGAGATGCAAAGCAGCCCCATGCTTCAGATTTTCTAACGAAGTACAATGCAGAAGAGTGCCATCAAATCTGTGCGTATATTGCCATACCCATTGTAGTAGGCAGCTCTCGAAAGTGGCTAAGGGTTACTGTGATGGAACTGACAAAAATAAAAAGGGGAAAAAATATAGAGAAAACAAAATGCACATGGGCAAGCGCACAAACGTCTACGTTTATGCATTTGATTCTGTCGAGACTGCGCGAGTGCCGTCGTGTTGCTCTGCCCCACCAAAAGGGACGCGCACATCTCATAACCTGGCCTCAATGGTAGACTCTGACAGAAAGACAAAATCTCACTGCCCATAATTTTAGTTATTCAGGTGACTTAGTGGTGTCAGTACCAGCTTCAGAAGTGGAGCTTGTTCATTCATTGACGAACCTTCGCTAGAAGTCCTGAAGCCCGATCTTTTCAGACCGAGGCGAGCTGCATCCACGTCGGTACTATCTGGCTGAGCCTTATGGCACCATCGCGGACCCTCTGGACAAGCCCTACTTCATCCTAATATGAACAGCGCGCCACCATCTTTTGCCAATGAAGCCAGCTTTCTTTGGGGACGGCTAAAAGTGGAGTTCACTTAGTGATTATTGTCTCTCACAATAGTGTTGCGATTGCAGTATCTTCTATCTTAAGGTACACAATACAATATTGAATATATTGGAAATATAGATACAGGTACTTGTCTTGCGAGATGTATCGCAATACAGATACAAAATGCCCAAAGAGTATCTGATATAGTATCTGAGATACATGTATCTTCGATACTGCCCAGCCCTCAGCAGCAGAATGAAATACTCTCATCCCGAGTAATCTGTGATTACATTTAAAGAAAGGGAAAAAATAAAAACAAAATGCGAAATTACCCTGTGAAAAGAGTGATACATTTTATATTCAAGGTGTTTCAGTTTCATTAATCATTGATAATGTGCATGGCCAGAGTGCACATACTTCCACATCAATGCCCTTGTTCTTCACCATGCCTCGCGTGTCACAATCTTGAATTTGTCCATGTGTGTTGTTGCTGCTTGCTTGTTTGTCTTTTTATGTTGCAAGAACAATAAGTGATAAATTGTAACAGAGCAGTGTCTTAACTGCCTCTTTCTATAGCTGCAGAAATTAACATGAGCCACGAGGTGGCCAGCATGGCTGTCAGTGTGGCTATGTTGAACTAATGCATTTTTACTTTCAAAAATTTTAGATTTTTTTTCTGTGCATCAGATGTATTTCATGATATTGTCACGCGACAGGAATTCGCCGGAGCCACGAAGACAAGGAGGAAGAAGTGGTCATGAGGAGTGGGAAGTTGTGGGGCTGAACGTCCTGTCTTTTGCTCTGCACAAAGCATCTCTAACCTTTTTCATGCTGTAAATAAGCCCACCGCATCATTACAGTTTTGGTGGAGCTGGGAAACTAGCTCGTGTGACGGATGGAAGCAAAGGACAGGACGGTCAGCCCCACAACTTCTCTCTCCTCATGACCACTTCTTCCTCCTTGTCTTCGTGGCTCCGGCGAATTCCTGCCGCATGACAATATTTTCTGCATAAGCCACTTGAAAAAAAAGCCCTGCAACATTTTTTCAAGTAGCAATGGAATGTGTTCACTAAAGAAGCTTATTGCATCACGAATTTACTGCAGCAAGATTTTTCAGAATTTGTCCGGTACAAGCGGAGTTGCAAAGATTTCTCACACGCTGCAATTGTATTTTCCCTTATCTTGTCCTGATGAAACCGCTGGAAGCCAAGCTGGGAAGGATGGCACGGGGGAAGGAAATATGTCAGATGCGCCTAGTGACCTTGAGCACTTTTTTTTTCTTTGAATGCGCAGCTTTACAGTATGATCGCGTGCGCACGTGTAGACAAGGTGAAGTTTCTAGGGCAAGCCTAGAAACGACCGAGTGCGCTATGCTGAAATCAGTCAATGGCTGCAGCGAGTTATTTTTGAGCTTGTAGCGTCATTTGTTAAGAGAAGAGAAAACAATTTATCACTGACTTTGAGAATTTATTGTGAATTCTAGGCCGCGTGCTGCTCTCTAATTTTTGGCTCGCGTGTTCTCGGTAGCCTTGACTACCAATCGGCAGCATTTTTGACCATGCTCAAAAAGTTGTTGCAGGGCCCAATTAACTTGAACGATGTTACAAAAATCAAACAGCCCCAAATTAGCTCCTTGTGAATGTTGTTAGGACCTTTTTAATGATTTGTGATGCTGCTTGAGGTTGAACTTTTTTGGCAAGTCTCGTGTCCCATTATCCGAAAGAAGTTTGTGGGTGCCGTTGTGACGGAGGCATAGCCTGTGGAGTCCTATTTCGAATACGTGTGTTTTTTGGTAAATGAGTCGCATGGAAGGAAAATATACCACTGAATGTTGATAATGATAGGATTTTACACTTCTGCTTTCACCCACAGGTGCGCCGAGGTAAGGAAAAAAAAAATGGTGATGAATTTCACCATCATATACTACAATTGATGCAAGGCAACCATGCACTAGGAAACCAATTATAAGAAAGCTTAATTTAAATTTAGACGTGTACTGGAACACTTGTTAATTATATATTGCAAAGTATGGGACAGAGTTTTGGGTTCAGGGAATGTTCTGTGGACCTTTCTTCATTTTATAATTGTTGGTATCATTATACTTGAAAGTTAGTGCATTTTAATTTTCAATTTGGTGTTTTTTGTAAACGTCAATACATAAGGCAGGTTACAGATTGTGTAATATGAAAGTTCTAGCTAGGGACTAGATCATGTTAAGTTGTGATGCGTTGGCCTGAACACTTCTACATACAGTTGAAAATGAATTTGCCAATGTGCTCTAATTATCAGGAAGTTGTTTAAGTTGATCAAGGCACTTTTTCATCCTTCGAAGTCTAATAAAATTATAGTGTAGTGACACCCAAAACGTACGTAAGCACTGTATTTGCTGCCGACTCTCGCTTGTTCACGTGAAAAGTTTGTGTGTTACCTGGGCGTGGATATGTTTGTGTCTCTGTGCATATGAGGGGGATTGGTTAGGTGCAGTAATTGTTTTTTGAACTGGAGAGTCTGTGCGGCACTGTAATATTTAAAAAGTGTGATCGTTACAGTCTAGTGTACGAATTTGGGAGCTTGTTCGGGGGGTCCGAATGTTGTTGCATGCGGGTTGACGGGAAAGCATTTTGTTTCTTTTTCGTTTTTGTACTTTTTCTGAACTTATTCAACCCTTGCTCGAAGATGCCGCAGTCACAACTTGGGCATGGGAAAGCCATGTCTCTATACTAAAACTTGCTTTTTCAACTAACACTTGTGGCATGGCAACTCCTTTGGTCCTGCATTCACGCTACCGCTTAACTTAAACTTTACTACCTCAAATATTTGTGATATAAGTTACGTAAACCTTTATTACATCAAGGCTGCCACTGTGCCCTGCTTGATTACTGTTGCCTTCTTATTGTCAGTGAGGATGTGCCTGGAGATACCATTGACCGGGAGCTCGAAAACTTGTCTGACTGTGAGCTAGAGCTAGAGGTACTCAAGGCTGATGTACAACCACCTTCATGCTCGAAGACAGTCCCAAGTAGTTCCATGCAAGAGATGCAGCGGAACAGCTCACAATCTGAACATAGTGAGCCAGACAGCATGGTTGGATCTCCAATCTGCATTGAGGTGAGTGGTAGCCACGCTTTTGGTAGGGAATGACTCTGTATTAATTGGCAGTGTCCAGAGGGTCACCTGAGCTGATTACAGTAAATCAAGTCACCTAAGTGAGTTTCCTGAGAAACTTAATAGTGTTGCCACCTGCCTTGTTTTAGACTGGTCTGGCCAGTTGTTCAGGCTGTGGGCCGGTCCCAGGCCCACACCCAAGACCGGCAATCATTGGCCAGGGCAAGGGCACATTCTTATCTCATACAACATGCATGTCAACACTTAGTCTCAAGAGCTTGCACTGAGTCTGTCAATTTGTCAAGGTCTAAGTGCACTACACAACAAACCATTGGAGCATCTGCTAGATGGCGCGTGTGGTTCATAATAATAAAAATGCCCTGAAAAAAGGACTTGGCAAGGTAGTATGTGAAAGCTACCTTGAAGTGAGATTTATGTTACGTATCTGTCAGAGGTGCGCGAGGATTAGAACTTGCCACTGATGTAAAGGCAAAAGGGAGTGCTTCTTGTCGTCTGCTCGATTTTTCAACTTCGAAGACTTATAGTTTCAGTTTTCATGCACTCATTTTCATCATTCTTCTTGTGTTGCTCTTGTCATTCATGACTACAAGCATTTCAGTGCTTAAGAAGGTAGTTGCGAAAATGTCACAGGGCCCCTGGAATGTTTTTATGACATCCTAAGGGGAACTTCTTTTTTCTTTTCTTTGGTATTTACTATTAAAGCTCTTCACACCCCAGCGTTAAACAACACGTATAAAATATTTTGCTTTGATCTTAAAGTTTTTGTTGCTGAGCATCAGCAAGCCAACCCCTTCGCAATGGACATTATTCTGACGATTCAACACAGTTCTACTGAGTTTACGAACTCTTCATGCAGCCTAAATCACAGAAATCACTGTCGGGATCACCGGACAATACTGGAAAGTGCTGCAGACATTTCTGAAATTGTATTTGTCTTTCTTTGCTCATGAGAAAAGCAAAACATGCTGTTTTCAAAAAGTAATTACATTTTTCAATGAAACTTTCAGAATTTTTCAAAGCAGCTAAGGCACATTAATGCAAGAATTTTCTCTCTTCCTTTAATAGTGGCCACTGTTCGGCTAAAGTGGCTTCCTGGCTTGGGGGCTGTTTGTAACTTTATGTATTTCATAAAAATGGGATATAATAGTCCAAACTGCTCACACATGCCATATAAATCTGTCCTCTTTCACTCTGTTCTGCAAATTCCGCATGGTATCAGTAAGCTTGGTCCCTTGCTGTTGTGCTTTGATTTAGTGGCTGATACCCACTGCAGGACATTGACTGTACTCTATCCCATCACTACAGTTCAGTACTGCCAAACCTGTGGGGTGTAAGCAAGCCACACGTTTTAGCAGCTACATGCAGCTCCAGATATGATTACCTACAATTGGCAGGGTTGAGACATTTGGGTTTGGCGCATGCTTCATCACATCGATGCTTCATATGTTTATTCTTCGCATTGATGTTGTGTGCGTCTGATTGCTGTATCAGCAACCGCCAGTTACTGTGGTTACAAACCATCATAGCAGTGCCCATGCAGACGTGACTTTCCTCTTCAGTGCGAACTTGCGCTCGTCGCTCACTCACTGTACTGGCAGCAACGAATAAATGATGAAATGAGCCATCGCTTTGTGCCATTTTACGATGAAGACAAAGTATCAGGTATATTTTGTTTTTTATGAGATAGGCCGTTTGTTGAGCTGCACCTGCTAAGCCTAATGCATCAAAAATTTGATAATGGTTCTTGAGATCAGTGGAATATAGTCGCGAGGACATTTTTGTCGAAGCATGAGCATATTAATCAGTAGTGGTCTAACGGTACCATTTGTACCATTTTGCTACAAATCTACCTATCTGTACCACACCGTGGCAATTCAAGCACATCATTCGCCAACTGCACCAAAGTTCATAAGTCACTAGAGCATTTCTGGCTCAAAATATTCTTAGTTTGGCTCGAAACATGCATAGCTTCCCATACTGCCCCAAAATTTGCTTAGTCTTTTTTTCACTGCTAGGGTTATCCTTGTGATAATTAAGCAATAACTGAACCATCTGCTGTTATTTACCATTCAGCATTTTTGTCTGCAGTCTTGGAGCTCATCACATGTATTGAGGAACTGTCTATAATATGCATACAATTGATTTTTTTTCTCAGTCTTTGTAGTTATCATAATATCGTGCATGCAGACCATGCTGCTGTACAGTGTGTTTAGTGTTGCATATTGTTAGTAGCATTTACACATGTATACTAATAATTTTTAGAGCTTTACTAGCTTGATATTTTGCAAATGGGGTGTTCTATCTCAATTTCGCTGTGCGAGGGTTTTGTGGTATACTGATAGTAACATAAAGCCTATTTGAGATTGCAAGTGAGCGCTGTCCACTCAGAGGCCGCGCCTGGAAACGGTGCTTACAGGGTCAGCCTTGAAAGGAGATGTATTACCACGTTGCGCATGTTGAGAAGCGGCCGCATAGTTCCTTTATTTTCACCATGCTGCACGTGCGAGCCCAGAAAGAAAAAAAAAAACGCGATATCCAGAGTCAACTTCAGTGTGCCACAATGCGTGACATCGCGATGGAAAGATGAAAATTAACGTATCGTTCTATCACTTCCCAAAGAATGTAGACGACGCGCAGCGGAGAACAGCGCAAATCAGTGACTAGAGCATTGGAAAGAAGGTGACAGACACTATGGTAGTTTGTTCCAATCAATTCGCTCGCGACTACTTAATTCTCCTCGGTGAGTACACTATTACTTAGCCTGTCTGCATTTTTATCTGTATTCTAGCAACTCTAAGCGCGGAATAGTTTCGTTTATATACGCAAACGGTTCAGGAAATTGGATGCGTTACATGTGGGACTGTATTTTTCGCATATGCTTGTCTTCTGCGCAAGACGTATTGCTAACCATTTTTAAATTAAAGGGGTACTGACACAAAAACTTTGGACTCGCGTTTTTCTGCTGCAATGTGTTGCTGGGGGCCTCTTAGTCATGACACCACACATTGTTTGCTATAGCACGCGATACTTATTTACAGGTTCCTTATTATGGATCAGTTTGTTTCGGTTTGAGAGAGCTCCAAAAACTGGGTTCAACTGTCGCCACATGGCGTGCGCAGCTTTTGACCACGTCAGCACACAGAACTGTGGCACACTTTTGCATGGTCCGCATCAAGAATTACATCCGAATAGGAAACGAGACTACAATATCGCCAAACACAGAAATTTCTAAGCCTGCGCCACGCACTCGCAACCAGCCACAGAGAAACATAGACTGCGGTAACAAACGTGGAAAAAGAAAAATGGCGGCTATGACGTCATCATAACTTGTTTTGTTGGCTGCAGCCTGGTGACGTGAGGGAAGTAGGGGGTCACCTAGGGGTCCCCTTCGATGGTGTCAATGGCCCGATGGAGTCGAGGGCTCGTGCAAACTTCAAGATTCTTTCAAAATACCTTCTCAGCTATATTCGCTGTTCAAATTTTGCAGATGATATACGAATGTTTCTGGGAATCAACCGTACAGGCTATCTCGGCCGTGAAATTTTGTCAGTGCCCTTATAAGCAGCTGTAATCTTTCCTGCCGAATATTTTTGTTTTAGGATGTGTGTATGTACATGCACACACGTGTGTGTATGCGTGCGAAGGTCGTCCGTGTGTGTATGTGTGTTTGTGCTTATATATGTCATGTCCGCGCATTTGTAGCATGCGTGTATATATCTGTTTTGAATTGCAACTTCTGCCAACACTAACAAGCGAGTGAATGTTGGGAGCACAACACCTTACAGTGGAACTTCTAATATACGTCCCCCTGTTTCTTTACGACCCGCATTTTACGACAAATTAGTTTAGTCCCGGCAAAATCCTCATAGAAATAATGAAATAAAAGCCTTGGTTTACCCTGCAGTTTTACGCCGACCTTGCATCTAACGACGCCTTTCAGATTCTGCTTGGCAGAAAAAATGACCTCTACTCGAATGAAACCTCGCCCGAATATACGAATATACACGAGTGCAAAATATGAAGTTGTGTTCCCCATGGTTTACGACTGGAAAAGCAGAGTGAGACAGGATGTCTTCATAGAATGAAAAATTTGCTCTCCTGGAAGTTCAGGCTCTTCTACATATGCCTCGATCGCGTGCATATGTATTCGGGGTAGTTAACTAGCCAAGGTCTATTTGAACAGAACAGAACAGATTTTATTTCTGGAGATATACAGAAAAACAAAGCGAAGCTAAAGGCCATTCGGACTGACGTGGCTTCGCTGTGCGAAAAAAGTTCAGCAAACAGTGCTACATTGAATAATAATTATCACAATACAAGGAGCAAGCAGCATAATAACACAAACACAAAAATAGCATAAAAGCAAAAATAGGTGACATAAGTACAAAAAATAGGCTGCATAGACACACAGAATCGGACATCGAGGCTCTTTTCATTACATATAAAAAAAAAAATACATACATATTGATATATTCATATAATTTACTCATATATTCATTCATACATCTGCCCGTATGAACCTACATGCTACTGTATATTCACGCCTTTTGTACCTAAAGGTGAGAGTAGATGTGGAACCTAGCCAGAAGTTTATTGGAAACATGATGTTTACTATACTCAATTAATGAGGAGATGTTTTATGTGATATTGGAATTGCATTAATGAGAGGTTAAAATTGAATTGTTCACCTAAATGATTTATAAGCTGTGGGGCGCGGTATGCAATTAGGGCTCTACCATATCCAGTCCTAGTGACACACAGTAACTTCAGTTTGCTGAAAAGCTGTTGTTTTCACGGTTTCGGTCCGTGGAAACTTTTTTGTCGGCATGCAGCTGATCTGCCTTTGTCGCACTCGCAGGCACAGGCTTGCGCATGGATAAGGGCATGAATGACGCAGCAGTTTTCACCGTGCAAAATTACTTTTGCTTGACATCCACTCTCATAATACGAGCGGGACACCACTAGTTGCATTTCACAAGGCA